TCTAGTGTCACATGTTGTCATTTTGCATTGCAACAAAACACAGTCATTGTACCCGCTATCCTAACCAATCGATACTCGTATACCAGAAGAGGACACTGGGTATCGTAACTGTATAATCGCTCTCCCATGATTCCTTGCGTGGTGAAACCGCTTTGACTGATTAATCGTTATTGTTTCACGGTGAAGTGCCAACTCACGTCAAACTTGTTTGTGAATAAAATATCGCGTTACTCCGATCGTCGCGGTTGGTTCGCGTGGTTCTTGCAGCGGAACTCGTCGAATGTCGCTCGTTTGATCGAAACCGTTCGAAATGTTGCTCGCAAAACTCTCGCAGTGAAATCGATCGAGAAGACCGATTTTCCGCGTTATTTTCGAGTGCAAGACCATCTGTGTCTCCGCTGTCCAGTACTTTTTGCTGTATTATGACGGACTCTGGAATTTTTCGCCTACCTATGGTAATAAAACGAGAGTACTCAGGGAAACGAGCCCTGCAACAGCACGGAGGAAAGAGAGGTCTCTCATTAGGGATTTTGATTATGGTTTTGATTCATAGTTATGTGTAACCCTATTGACGCATAGCAAATTAGTATGAGAAATGAGATGAGAAAAGATGAAAGCTGATCAATGAAACCCGCACTTTCAGGTCTCACCCTTTGAACTCTGTAGGCTCCAATATTGCAGCAGTTACAATACTAAATATTTTAATGAATCTTAAAGAAACTAGATTTTCCATTGTATGCATCTAAATTGAGTAAAAATAAATGTTTGCTATCGCGACGGTAAACATGTCGCTTATAGTAACTAAAACTCAAAAGTATTAAAAAATGAACACTAAACTTAACTGTCTGTCCCGTCCATGTCATAAACGAAACTTCGAGAATCTTCTATCATTGCCTTCCGTATTGGAACAGTCACTTATTTACATCCTATTCCATCGAATCGAATAGAATCACGCTGCGATGGTCGTGACATGACCTATGAACAATCCGTACATTTCATGCAAGCTACGATTTCACAAAGATGGGTAGCACTTGTTGCCCGGCCGGGCTTGTTGAGTCCGTCGAGTGAGTGTCTCGTGCGTGAGACAACAGCACGTAAATAGGTTCTGCACGACTCTTCGACCCCGTGTCTGGAATTCGTACGCGATCGCCTCCGCGGCCGAATCGATCTCGCGTGAGCCGTAACTTCACGTCTCGATACACTTTCCGTGCGGTCCCTCCAATTTGTTCAGGCCTAAAGGCTCCAAGAGCTAGATGTTGTTTCAATAAGGCCGATAGATTTTCTCATTAACCCTTGCATGACGAATGCAGTTACATTTCGACCGACTGTAGCGAGTATAATGAAAACTCTGTTATGGGTCAGAACGGCCATCCGTCATCCGAGTGTTAACCTCTTGCCGTGCAGTATAGAATGATATTCGTAGCGAAGGTCCTGATTTCAATTTAACAGTCATGAATACTGTATATTCTTTCGCTCGAAATGAAGTGTCTACTGTTTCATTGTTATCGATGTCTGATGTTCGATGTGAATGTAGATTTTCAGCGAATGCAACTTTTCCTTTTCAATGAATTATCGATGATCATGGTAGATGATTAATAAGTGTCTTGGCGTACAATGACGAGTGAGACTCGTGATGAGGATTTCTAGATTAACTTAACAAAAATCATTATCGTTGCTAACGAATGAAAATTATTTAAAAATCTATCACACTTACTGAGACGCTTTGTGCAGGAAACCAATTCAGAAAGCACTGAATTAATTAACACGTGTTCGTGATAAACTGATACATGTGAATCGTAATGCTTTCTGCGGTTGAATAATTACTATTTCGTGACTAGTGCGGAACTGGTCTGAGAAGTGGAAAGATTACCAAAGATATAATGCGACGGAAACTTCCTGCTGAGAGTAGTTAACGATTTTCTCCTTACTTCACACCAGTTCCTTCACTTAATAAATTTATCTCTGCTTCCGTCATGTCACAAACTGATTTCCGAGTTCCCTGTCGGTAGTGTATATTAAAGTTTTAGAAATCTCCGTTATTGGATGAACCGATTTAAAATAATTTGAGAAATTAATTTAAAATAATTTGTGAACGAATGCTTGTGCAGCACTTAGTGTTGGCTAAAATTGTATAGAGATACAAAATGAAGAGTAAATACAATTTTATTCGAATAATAATTTATTTAAATAAGAATTTACTTGTATAATTATTTACTAGTTAAGATACTTGTTCTCGTTGTGATGAAATTACATATATTGCTTAACTTTATGTTATTTATATCAAGTTTGAATCAATTATTCGTATAAAAACATTCATTTGATGTAAATAAGGATTTCTTGATTTCATACCGGAAAACTACATTAATAATGCTACCTTTGGTATTTTAATTAATTATTTCGAATCAATTTCATTTCCTTAATATGTTAATTGAAATTTCTAACATGAAATATTTGAAACTTCGATATAACTATGATCTTTACAGAAATATATATAAGGACGATCAATTGAAGTAGGAAATACACAGCAGTAGAACTTAATTAAAGGCATGCAATTTATAAACTCGCAACCTTATTTCGCTAATGATTGGAAGTATCAAAGTTTCGAGCACAGCGTATTTGAAAAGGTTTTAGTTTTAAAGTGATTTCGAGTGCCTGTTCGTGTCGAAGATAAAAGGTGGGAAAGAACATTTCGTTACTTAAAGATTCTTGATCTGATGCTTACCGTGAATTCGTTTCCATGTGCTAAGTGAATCGCAAGTTTCCTAGCAACTTCTGCATTTTAGATCGCAATAGGGTCATTCGAAGTCGAACGGATCAAACTTTTATGCGTTAAATTTTCGATCAAATTGGAAAGCTGAATCCTTTTGTCGATGGCGTTCACGATTAATTGATAAACACGCGTAAAGGAAAGGAATTAGTTTCCGGAAATTCTCCAACCGTTCTGTCTGCCGAATGTTATTATTTATATCGTTTATACCTTCATTTTGTATTAAGCGTTCATATGCAAATCGTGTGTGCGGAAGCAATTCAACAGAACAGAAACTGTAGTGTCGCTCGCGTGTCGACACGGTCTCCCGCGACTTTCCTCCGATTTGCGACTGTAATTTGGCCCACGAATGCGTTCGCCGAATGCGCACGAACTCCAAAAGGAAATGTACTCCAAATTATACGCGACGTGAAATGTGACTGGTTTCAATTATTCCCGCCTTTGTTCGGGGCACTTGTTGGGATCAGGTACCCATGTAACGCTTCAGTACTCGTAATTCGATACAGCGTTAAGCGTGCTCACTTCTTTCTCGTTTCTTCTCGACGAATTCAATCGACGCACCAACAGGTGTAACAGAGGGACAACTAAACATTTAAAGTTCCTTTTGTGCTTGCACTCAGATTTCCATTCAGTTGTGTCCCCAAGATGCATGTCCAACGTTAGATTGAAATTCAAACATTCTAATTAACCGGTTAACTGTGGAATTTAGTTGGAAAAACCGTCGAACGCAGGACTAATGCACGTAGAGTATATTTTAACCCTTTGCACTCGGAAGTTTCTTACTAGAAATATTCAACATTTTTTGACGAGGAAAAGACGATCTTTGAGATTAACTCGAAGAGAAATCGCCAGTATATTGAGGACGAAGCTATTTTAATCCAATATTTCACGTACTGAGCATTATACAAAGTTCAATGTTAAATATCAGATTTTGTAGTTTTACCGCGTCAAATCAAGTGGTGACTGAGAGTCACCTCCCGAGTGCAAAGGGTTAATAAAAGATCAAAGCGAAAGAAAGAAAAATTGAGTTGCTTATACACGGTCTCTAAAAACGTGTTACAATCGACAGATTGATGAATCTACTTGAAAAAATAAGACGAAAACGTAGACTACATTTTCTTCGTAAAACGTTTGACATGCATACATAATACAATAATAATTAAAAGCATCCAAATTTCATTTCATCTATTTGAACCGTTAAACCGTTTCCTATTAGACATCAACTTTTTACATTCATCATCATTAAGCTCTTTATTATTACATAATGATGAAATCCCATTTATTATATATTTATATTACATCCGAAAACAAGGAGAGTTTCCATAAAATAATAATCTGAAGCACATAGTTCGAATAATTGATCCGCTCGATGTTAGTCATCGTCGGTATACGAATCAAGGTACTTAGTGGTGTGCGTTAAAATGCAATATCTGCGAGAAGTATTAATTTATTGTACAATCTATCGATTATTCCGAAAACAAAGTGAAACACGAAGAAATGTTATTCTACACTTTAACCGAATTTCTCACGTAGGAGTAAAGACATTTCTCTGGGTCGCAGCGCAATCTTCGAAACACGCTGGATTACTCACGGGAAACTGCGCGTGTTTGCCTACAATATAAGTCATTAATTACTTGCCGCGGTAACAATTTGACGTCGACCGCAAAATGTGAAACGAATGTGTTGCCGCGAAGAAACGCGACAAGCGAGGATAATGAAAGTGCATGAATAACAGGCAGCAAAGACCGCGCTGTTTACCGATGCACCGAGACGATGTCTCGCGTCAGTCTCGCGCGGTGACAGACGTATGTCGGGAAGCATTCAAGTAAATTACTGCGCGTCTATTAAAAGTTAGAACGCGATGAAATTGCGAGGCTTGGTTCTTACTCACGCGTGAATGGAAATGAAAATGGTGTCTCGAATAAACAACGTCACGCTGATCAATGCAACTTTCGTTCGTGTTGGCTCGGAGCAGTGATGTCCTTTGTCCCAAGACGATGGCGCTTCTTGTTTCAAGTATCGATACGGTGTAATTCTTGCGTCGACTGCTGCAATTCCAGTGCATTCAATCACAACTAAATGGCTAACGCAGTAATTATCGTCAAATTGTCGGGATTTCGTGTTGTTCTTTGTACTTCTTCGAAAATTCGTATGTTTATATTGTTGTGTACGCTTTGCTATTACACTTTACTGTAATACTGTGTTTTAGTGTATAAATAAATATTGATTACAGGCTACATCTTATTTGGAAATGTGATTTTATAAGGAGATAATGAAGTAAGTAATATTTGGAACTTATTTTTAAAGAATGGTATACGTAAACGTTCGTACTTGAAAATTTTTCATGCGGTTTATGTATTTAACGTTATAAAAATGTTTTGAGAATATTAAATTGTTTGTCCTACTATTATATGTATATGTGGTTGTGGTTGTAGTAACAGTGGAATTCATTGCCATCAAAAGTGTTTTAATAAATGAATGACTGTTTCTGGAACAAAAATCGAATAAAATACCTGTTATCAAAAAATGTTGACACTTTGAACAATGTGGAGACTAGAAAAGGGCAAATGAAAACTTGTTCGACTTGACTTTCTGAACTAGAAAATTCTTTTAACGGTATGTATATTTTTATTCAGAGAAAACAGTTCAGTTTCAGAGCCGCCTTCAAGCTTCTCTTTCCTCGTTTGCGACATCCCACGCACATTGAAGCGCTATCTATTGCAATATAATGTAATTTCAAGTTAGTTCGATGATTTCTGAACCACGTAAATAGTTGTGCAGAAGTTTACTTCAACGTTATCGCCAATAATCGACGGAACTTGGACAAGCACGGAGAGGGAAAAGCTCGGTACATTTCACTCGGAAAATTAGAGGAACCCTCGCGCAATCTTTCCGATACATCGGGAAACATTGATTAGAGTTCAGCGCTGAAATATTGCCAAGCAAGCGCCACTGTAAACAAGAAGTTGGAAACCGAGATTGCAGAAATTCTTCGAGCTGGAATCGGAATTTCTCTTTTATGTATCTAAAAATAATGAAACATCAGATCAATTGATTTCCGTTTTAAAACAAAAACATTTTGTTTGACATTCCAAACAAAATAATTCTTTCAATGTTATATTAAACAACGTAAGATTACAAATTTTAAAAATGTATTAATTTCCACGAGTTAAAGAAACAAATTAGATAGAAGAATTAAAATATGTTTTTTTATACTGGCAATCATAAATTACTACACTCCCATTTTTTATGAAATTGAACTTTTAACTAATACATATATATGGTGATGATGATACGTGAAAGAACGAGTAGAATTTGTTCTTATCTTTCTACCTCAAAATTCGCTTATTTTTAGGAATATTCTCTACAGCTTATGTTAGCAAACAAAATGTATCCGTTCGTTCAAATATCAGTGTTATAATATTTTACCATAAATTTCGTATTTTCTAAATACAAATTGCCGCGCAAGAGTTCCAAAGACACAGATCTGATGTAATTTTGTCAAATTTTCAAGAGAACATAGAAAATGTGTGGTTAACCCCTTGGCGTACTATTCACTTTCGCCACTATGCTCATATACCACTTTACTATCGACAATTTGGAAGAAATGCAACAAAATTGTCCATTCTACTTCAAGTGGAAATTTTATTTGAAGATAATACAATGATAATAGCAAAATAGTCGTTTGCTTTGATCCGTGGGCAATGAATAACATCGATTGCTGTTAAATTAGTCTAGAAATCTTCGTCACGAGACATTATAAAGTAAACAATTTTAACGCTCAGTATTTCCATTCTTAACCCTTAAAATGCTGAGTGGGGTCCTATAGGGAGGCCAGAAAGTATTTTTCCTTAATAATTTTGCAAGTAATTTTTTGTAATTTTTCATATTTTATGTAGTTTCCCTATTTTCTCTTCAGGAGACTCCAGTGTGTTTATAGCTAAAAACAAAATAACTTGAATTGGTTCTCTGGTACTCGGCTGCGAATGTAAGAGTTAATCAGGGAATTATGCGAACTCAGCACCGGGAAGAATCGAGCCCTAAGTATTTACGAAGATTTACCAGACCGAATACCCTTAAGGCCGCCATTTCCCTCGGCACGTACTACCGTTCTCTATTCGTTTACTCCGTAGCAGATACAGGGAGATTGTTGGACAGCTTTCGAATTGGATTAGCCGGCGGAGTACGTGAGGGCCCCGCCAACATTCCACCCTTCGATCCCTCGAATCCCTTGGCTAGAATGGTTACTGACAAGCCGCAGAAGACAGCCTGACATCGGTTGTGTTTGACCGCTCAATTTATGCAAACCAAAAATACATCGGAACGATTTTTTCTCGCGTCTATCAGAAAATTCCGTTTTCCATGCGATGATTTTGTAAATTTTTCAATACTGTACGAAAGGATGAAGAGACTATACCAATATCGCGCAATTATACACAATTACAATAAATATGCCTTGAAATTAGAGGTGTGCCAGAACTCGACAATATTTCGAGTTAACCCTTGCGGACGTTTGCACTCGAGAGGTGACTCTCAGTCGCCATTTGACTCGATATAACAAAATTACAAAGCGTTATATATAATATTAAGTTTCGTATAATGCATCAATATGCGAAATATTTCTATAGCTTTGTTTCTTAATTTACCTATGCTTTCTCATTAGTTCGTTTCGAATAATGTCACCTATGTCTCATAGGAAAGTGTCGAATGTTTGTGAAAAGCTTCCGAGCGCAAAGGGTTAAAAGTTTGACGAACAACTTACGATTACAAACGTTAAAAGTTTCATTACTGCTTCGGAGAATCGGTATGATTACAGCTGTCCGTGAGAGAAGTCTCCCAACGCTGAGTGCGAGTGGTAGGTGTTCGGACCGAAGTGTTTCGGACAGACTTCGGGTGACTGCGATTCCGTGAATGCGCGTGCCGTATGAGTCAGGTTTCAGCGTGTATCGACAATGTGTGAACGCCACTGAAGATAAGAGTGGCTATCCCAGAGAGATTTTCGAGAATGTACACCTAGCACCGCACTCAAGATGCGCTTTCAAGGGGGACGGTTTTTCGAAAGCTTTTCCCGTGACCACAATAGACGCTGGCTGCTGGTTCCAACACTCGTTGCTGAAAGCTACGGTTGGGTCGTAAACGCTCAGTCCGCCTAGCTGACTTTATTAAATATAAAAACGTGGTAACACGTGTAGAGATTAATTTTACAAAATCCCATGCGGCGCTGAGGTAAAAAAGGCGTCAAAAGTTTTTAAACCGTTTGCATCCTATAAGAGATTGAAGAATAGAAAAGTCGACGATAGCGAGATATTTTTCCTTCGAATGATTAACCCTTTGAACTCTGTAGGCTCTGATATTGCACCAGTTATAATATTAAATGTTTTAATGAATCTTAAAGAAACTACCATAAAATTATTAGATTTTCCACACATCCGAATTTTGTTGAGGAGGAGAATAAAAGATCGAAGAAATGTTATAGCATTTCTCATTTTCGCTTACTATAAAAATTAGTTGCAGTTGCCGATAGATTACAAAACAACCTGGAGTGCTAAGGGTTAATGTACAGTAATGAATACGTAAACTGTAATATGAAATTGTAGTAATAAATAACATCATGGTGGAGTAATATTTTAATAACACGCAATAACTGAAACAGTGTATCGTTTTCTGTTAGGTACATGGAGAGTAACTGTAGAAAATACAACGCGGGATTGGTTTGAGAATAATAATTACGAGAGTTCTACTCTTCGCTTGTTCATTCCGTACCGGAGACGAGAAATCTCGTTTTTACATAAATACCTACCTCCGTAGCTTTGCTAATTACCACACCATATAAAAGAATATTAAAATTCTTTAGAACTGATTATTTTTGAATTATTTTAAAATGTATCGATTAACAATAAGATATTTGAATATTTTACATGCAGCGATATGATCTTATTGAAAATCACCAGCCAGTTCCAGTTTTTTAAGAATTAACTGATGAAGAATGATTTCTTTCTCAACTCTGATCGATACGGCTACTTTGTCATTAATAATTGATTGGAAAAAGAGAAAAATTCTAAGCATATGTTATGCCTACATTTCCTTTGAACTATAATAATTGATTACAGAGGAATAATATTTACTTTGAATTCGAATTAACTAAGTAATATATATATATTTGTTGAATCATGTTGAAAATCTTCACCACGAGTCTCACTCGTTGTAGGACAAGGGGTTAATAACATTATAGTTCTATTCACATTACGTGTATTTTTTTGCATAACCGACATGTGATAATATATATGAAAATTAATTTTTAAAACTCTCACGTTGGCGCTGACGTAAACATTAAAAGCTTTCGAAAAGGTTTATTTCAAATAACAAAATATTTACAGTCATAATGAAATACTTATAATTCATGGAGGTTAATAAACTTCCATCGTCCCTCTGACATATATTACCTAGCTAACTCGCTGACAAAAACTACCCGTTAATTGCCATTTTTAAACCATTGAAGGATGAATGGTCTCATTCCATTCCACTCTACTTCACTCTCTCTCATTCAGTGTCTGCCGCATACAGCAATATTGCCTACGGCAATAAATCGAAGCCCACGCATTCGAAACTGTCGGCTCGGTCCCAGAAACACTTTTCATTCTCTCGCAATGTTTTCAAATTACGTTGCAGGCATTCCAGTGGTCACCGTTTAGTTTATAATGCGTCGTTTGACTCACGATATTCGTTCTCAGGAGGCAGATTTTGGAACAAATTGAGATTTAGAAGTAAAGATCAGATTTACAAATTATTAAGGATAAAATAACTCGAATCAGTGCAGTTACGAAAGAAATTAGAAGGCATATATAGCTGTCAAATGAATCCTAAATGATTATCTTACAATTTCGATACAGTGTAATGAATCCAATAGAAAATATAGAAAAATGTTGGTGCAATGAAAAAGAAATTCACAAGACACATTAATGTCACATCGGCTCAATGAAATTATTTATACCTGATGGCCATTAACGCTAACCGTACCGCAAACCGTACGAATGACCGGTTCTAAAATTTGATTTAAAACTGTGCGTTTTAAATTCGTTTATTTACTTTTATATCAATTCCAATATTGCTCGATTAACCAGTTAACTGTGAAATTTCGTTTGAAAAATCTCTCATTGTCGCGATAAAATCAAATAATAAATTGTACACTCGTGAAACCCAGGAAAAATGCATCTGCAGTGTATTCGAACGAAAAACTAAAGCAAAACGAAGAATTACACATTTATCTGGGAAAAATA